TTGCTGCCCTCCCGGACTTCAGACTGAACCCTCGGGGCCCGGCTCCAGTGAGTCTGGGCACAACTAGCTTAGGGAAGGCCAACAAGGGACGCCAAGGGACCTCCTCCAGAGGAAGGGCAGGCCTCAGCACACTGCTCTCCTCCCGACTCCCTGCCCTAAAGGGCCTCCCAGTACATCTGATGTTAATCCATGAAAAAAGAACTTGCTACAGTAGGAAAAAAAATGCTCTCAAATTCTGAGAAACAGAAACCCAAACTAGCTCATGGATTTATGGGGTCTCATGTATTTCCCTGAAGAATTACACACGACGTCAATGTCAACCGGGATGGGGGCTCTGAGAAGCACTGACACCCCGAGATGCTGCTCAAGTCCTTCCAAAGATCTCAAGTCCAGACCCAACTCAAGAGGACAGTGACCAGCCCACCCAAAGTCTCCTGTGCTGCGACCACATGGCTGGTCCTATACGGGGACAAAAACAGATAATTTTTGGCCTTTGGTATAAAAAAGAATGAATTCTCTACAACCAGCAGGGAAATGTGACTGAATTCAGTGTAAAGAAAGATGTGTTTCTAAAAGAAGCCGCCAAACTAGCACTGCATTTAAATAACGCTTTAATTAAAACATGAAGGCAAGCCATGGAGTCCACTTTCTACGCAGCCAACCGCTTCCACCAACAAAATCAAGCTGCCCGGGGACCCCAAGAGCACTCACCTGCTTATTAGTCTCCCCATGTGGGGAAGATTCAGATTTTTATAATCAGATAAGGGCAAGGAATGAATGAACTCGGGGGGGAAATTTTTGTAAGATTTCAGTCAAGCTGCAGGATTCAGAAACGTCGCTGTAATATTCCGGGTAGGATTTCAGTGCATTTAAACATGGTACAAATAAGATGCACAGTCTGAGCAGGCAATGAAGGGGGGGGAGGGCAAACCACCACGGGATTTAATTTCTTGATGCAGTTATAAAATACAGACAGCAATGGGTTTTCCGGTCTGATTTGTGCACAGTGTAATCAATCAGCCACCTACTTGTGGCTGAGACACACACTCATTCTTGCACACGGTCACACTCACCTCCATTCTCACACTCCGTCCCCCTCACACTCCCCCCCACCCAAACACACACAACAGTTTCACCGAGAAGAGCAATGTAAGATGAAATATTCCAACTCAGTAAAGAATGAAAATAAGGGGGTGAAGAATCAAAACAGTCCCTTTAATTCTCAGCTTTAAAAAGATTTAATTTTTCCAAATGACTTTCCTGGTCAGATACCAGGGAAGGATTAGGGCTGGCCAAGCCTCAAAATCCGATTTTTGCTTGTGCTTCACAAAATCCACAAAATGAAAAGGTACAATTTGGGCCAAGGATATGACATGGGTAAGGATACACACCAGTGAAATCTGTCTGCTTGGCAATTCACGACCAGATGCTCTCAGTAAGAAAGAAGTTACTCACAAAAAAGATTGTGTCAAAAGCCCTCTCCCCAAACAGAACACTGATGGCCTGAGTGACTCTCTTCACATCTCTGATGCTGCGAAACCAAACGACCTTTCTCACCTGTCCACCAAGTTTAAGAATTAAGTACACTTGTAAAATAACGTATTTGGATTTTCAGCTTGCTAGCTAGTGTCACACGTACATTTTAAGTAGGGGTTCTGCCATTCTCTGCATGCAAAAGATGGGCTCTACAGAGGTTTGGGGCAGCGACCTATCATGGCCAATGCCGTTATGAAACTGTGAATAGCAGCGGGATTAACGAGGAACACATTTTCCTGCCATCACTGATCGTCCTTTTTCCCTTTGCCGAGCTGTGACCTAGGCACATTCAGTCTTTCTGGAAGTGCTGAGATCAGTACGGGGCCCACTAGGAGCCATGGGGAAGTCAAGAAGATCCTTTCTCTTTCTCCTCCCCAAATGAAAATGAGTAGAAAGGACGTGGTAACTCACTCTAGTGTGCGCCCAACACAGGGGAGGGCCACGCTGGAGGTAGAGACCAAGATCAGTCCCACACTGGCCAGGCAGGGGACTTGCTCTGGGATGAGGGTGGGGGCCCAGGGCACCCTGCACCTCTGTCCTGGTGATGAACCACCCTTATCTCGGTGACTGCAGCGCAGACTCAATCTGCACCGGCCACTCGCAGGGCTGCTGGTTCTTTGGACCGTAGGCAAGGCGGGGGCGGCAGGGAGCCACGGGTACACTCACCTGTGCCGGACACTTCACCTTTCCCACCCAGCTTTGCGTTCAGGAACCAGAACTGAATAAAAGTGCTCAGTTTAATTCCGTAAGACCAGTTTCCATTTCAATGTTTATTGGCGCCTGAGGCCCAGTGCCGAGCCGGGGGCTGCAGGACACACGTGGAGTCACACGTCACAACCACCCTGTGAGGGAAGGCTGTCCTGCTGTCCAGTCAGGAAACCGAGGCTCCTGGGGAGCCGCCCCAGCTGCACCACCAGGAGGGTGGCAGAATCGGGGACTGAATTCAGTTTTTTTTAAACTCCAGGTTCAATCCAACTCTTGGTTCATTTTAGAAAATACAAAAGGTTTGGTCCCATTTATACAGTTTGTTAAATAAGTTTCCAGGTTTTGTTTCCTCCACCCTCCATCATCTTCATTCTAAAGTTTGGAAAAATATTACATAAAAATTAACATTGGTGTCTAGTCGGGAGCTGAGTTAGTTCACACGCGGGCTGGCTCAGCGGAAGTCCCTTTGTAACAGCGTCGGGCTTGGCAGGGAGAGTTCCACCAGTGACACCTCAGCGGCTTCCTTCCCCTCCTGGCTCCCCCACAGCCGCAGCCCTGCCCTGATGCTTGGGCTCGGCCCACTAGAGTACAAAGTAAGAGGTGCTTGTGGCAATGAAACACAAAGGGAACAGAGGGTGAAGATCCCGCAGTGGTGCTCAGTCAGCAACATACACACACCCACCTCGTTTACTCAACCGAGAACTCCGCAGGTTAAGTCAGACCCAGGCAAGCCAAGGGCTTCTAGAACCCAGAAGCACCCTGCAGGGAGTGCTACCTCCCTTTCTAGCCCTGCTGGCCCCTGGGGATATGGGGGGTGGGCAGAGGACATGGGACACAGGTCACCATTCCTCACTGCCCATCTTCAAGTGAGGAAACAGACAGAGAGGGACAAGGATCCCACCCCTTCCAGGCCTACCGACCCCAAGGAAAGAGGAAACCGCATGTCTCAACCATGAGAAACCTGGTCAGGTCCAGCTGACTCCCCAAATTACAAGCACGTAAGTCAATAAGCAGGCACCACGGCCAGGCACATCCCAACACAGAACGGGAAATGCAGTTCTTTCTTTGGTTGTCAGGACACCCTACCTCAGGGTCCTGTATCTATCACGTACACCGACACTGCATTTGGCCATTAACACTCACTCTGGCCAGATATGCCATGGAAGAGGAGAGCAATGACTTGAGAGAAAGAGTGAGAGAACATTCCAGATCCTATGCTCCACGGCTCTGGTACAGGCAACTGCCTGCTCACTCTGCTAGAGCCTGGATTCACGACAGATCACATTTCATCAAGGATCCTGGACAGACGGGCTAGACTTTAGGTTGCAGTGCAGTCCACGCCCACCTTTCCTTTCCGACTACAGTGGAACTTTACATTGTTGCCGTAATCAGCTTTTCTAGAGATCTCCAGGAAGCCTGTGTATGTGGGACTTCACCTGCAAGCAGCCGGAGGTGCACTGCCAAGGTGCACATACACCAGGCGCTTGCCCTTGGGCAGCCAGCTCAACCCACACTCCCCTTTCCCTTCTACAGGCCACTCAGCCGCTACCACCAAGACGCACACAAGCTGACACGGACATCCGACCCCTCCTCTGCTCAACACCTGGCAAGGTGAAAAGGCAGTGCAAACACAACACTTGTTCTTTACTGCATCCTTGTCACCATTCCAAAGAATCTACAATGAGCTTCTATGCCATTAACTTCCACTTAAATTCCCTCAAAATTTAACTGCTGTGTGTCTTGGTTTGGAATGCAGAATTTGAGGTATTTGAGGTTGTCTTAATTTTGAAAAAATGAAAAGGGAAGCTAGGCAAATACTGGAACTTGTGACCACAATCTCTCACCACTTTGCTGAACAAATTCTGTAAGATTAAAATAGAAAAGGCACATATCACCCGGTAAAGTAGGTCTTCACAGCCACCTTCTCTCATATTTCTACCTACTGCTTCTGACACAGGCAGGCGGAAGGGCCCCTGACAGACAGTGGAGCTCAAGGTTACGAGGATAACCCGGGTACTCATCACATTTTAACTCTGGGCTTCACAGGGCATAGGAATAGCCATAAAATTTCCAAAAACAAACAAAAAAGCTAAACGACAGTTATTCAACAGGAAGATGAAAGACTAGATAATTATATAAAAAAATGAAACTACTTTCCTCTGCTCCTGTATTCCTCAATATTCCTCCACGTCTACTTGCTGTCAGAAGGGAAGGTTTACAAGAATTAGAACTGCTCCCTGCCTACACCCACATGGAAAACAAGTCAGAAACAAAGTCCACCATGGAAGAAATCTCAGAATAACCTAATTTGGAAAAATTTAATTAACAAAATAAAATGGGGGAAATGGTCCAGGAGGGGCTCTGGGGAGCGAGGTCTCCTCTGAGGCCAACGTCCGGCCCAGCCCTGGCAAGTCCCAGGGGCTCTTGGACCTGTCCGAGCAGAACCAGCCTCAACCAGAACCACCGCATGACGCCACCTCCTCCGCGTATTTGCTCCTCATTATATACAGATTTAAAAAACCAACAATTGCAGGTTGTTATAAAGTGGCTTCTAGCGCTCCTATGCTGGCTTGGCACATTAATGCATGCAAAGCAAGGAGAGTTCAAGGGCTTCACCAAACAGTTAATTTTGGCAAAAAGAGAAAACAAACAAAATGCTAAAATTCATAAGCAGGATTAAAAGCCACTGAAGTGAAAACAATGTATTTCTCAACAGTATGGAGTCGGACTACAGCTACAATCTTTTTTTTTCTTTTTAGGTCTCTGCCATCTTCTCCCCCAACTCAGGTCTAAGTTCATAGCAGCATAACACAAAGTCCTCTGTCAAGCCAGTGTTCTCTGCTTCTGGGGTCAGAGTTCACAGGTCAAGGTCAGTCAGTCCGAAGAATCATGGGAGGGTGCTCACTGTCTTCCTCCAGCCGCAGGGCACCTGCTTCCTCTTCCAGGCAAGTGCCACCTGCTGCACCCAGCTCATCTGTGTAGGCTGCATAGGGACAAAGAGACAGTCTGTCATCCTCAGGGCTTGGGGCCAGAGAAGGTGACCCCCAACAGCCAGGCCTGAAGCTGGGCCAGGGGCACACAGGGTGGGTTTATAAATGGCTGCCCACAGTGGGACTGCATTTTGCTTTCTCCTGACCCAGTTCTAGGCAACTCAAAATGAAGTGAAATTTCTTAAATGTCCAAGAGACGCTTATGTGGTGAACAGGGGCTTCCTAATTAACAAATTCTCTTTAGTGAACAGGGAGAGTGGAAGTGCATCTAGACCTGGGTATAAGGGATGATTTCAAGGGCAAATGTGCAGCAAAACTGCATGATTGCCTACTTGAGTTCAAGGTGAATTTTTCAGGGGGAAAGATGGTTCATAAGGAGTCAAATGGCCAGGCCTTATTGGTCTGCCTGCCTGCTGCAGCAGATGGCCTTAAATGAGGCCCAGTCCTGCTCCTGTGGCCCTTTCTCCTTTTGCCCCCCACCCCGCCCCCACCCCCTGGGGGTCAGGAGGGAGGGCGGATGCAGACTTGCTGAATGATCACACAGCAGGAGGGTAAACACCCAGCTACAAACACTCAGGGCTCTATTTCAGTTGAGCGGTGACAGGACAGGGAGCACTTCATGTACACCCAAAGTAGCCTGAGCCATGATGAGTTTTTCTTCAAAGATGAAGAAAATGAATCTGGCCTTGAGAGGCCTGGAAACTACAGCTGAGACAAGCGTGTCTATGTCTGTGTCCTCTCCCTGTCCCCGCCCAGGAGAAAGTGGCAGGCAGGCACTGTGATGGGGTGGAAAGTAGAGCATGAGAACCATGCCCAGAGGGCCCGGCATAATTTACCTTCCAGGTTTGTGTCACAGCCCTTACCAAGTCTTGTCGGGGACGAAGGCACGTGAGTACCTTTGGCTACAGCTGTGCTGTAGGTCTGAGTTACTAAGGGGCAGTCATGAGAGGCCGAGTCCAAGATTTCGTTGGTTGTCTCCATGCTGCCATCCAACCTGGAAAAAGAGAACAGTGAGAACTGTCAGGGTGTCAATGGCCACACTGCCTTGCAGCCTGCAGGCCAGACCCACCGCCACACACGCACAGGACCCTCTTTAGGTGGATATGCACACGTGTGCATCACACTCGGATGATTTTAAGTAATACCCATGTAACTGTTCACTTAGATTTTTTTTTTTTTAAATGACAACTTTTTCTTTTTAAGATTTATTTATTTATATATACAAGCACTGGGTACAGTCAGAAGCGCGGGAGGGCGAGAGAATTCACCAGAGCCAGAGCGGGGAGCAGAGCAGGCAGAAGGACCGAAGTACACTGCTGAGGGGAGCAGCGGGCGGCAGGAGAGGTCTGCGCGCCATGTGGGACCCTCCTCCTGTGGCCGAGGAGCAGCCGGGGATCGAACTGGTGCTGCAGAGACTGCGGTCAGCTTTGCAACCCAGCGCTCAACCGCTGCGCCACTGGGGAGGCCCCCACTTAGATTTTTAGATGACAAATCCGATCAGAAAAAGTTACACCTAGTGATGCCATCTTATTTCACTTTTAAGCTCTATAATCATAAATAGAACTCAATATATTATATACTACTTATAATCATAAATAGAATTCAATTATGTGTGTGTGTGTGTATATATATAAAAATAAATAAATCATCCCCTACTTCCACCCTGCTCCTAAGAGTGTGACAGCACTGTTGTTAGCACCTTTGGAAACCTATCCTTCCCACCTTCCAAAAAAGGAACATCAGAAAATCAAACTGCCCTGCTTCCCAGTGAACCAGTATTAATTCCTTCTTTTCAAGATAATCCTGAAGCAGTGTACTAAATTGTGGATGGCACTGCGTGTGCCATTCCATTCTTGCAAAATGCTAAGTTCCATCCTCAGAGGATTTACAGAGGACGAGGCCTGGACTCCCCCTCTGGACAGGGAAGAGCAAGGCTGCACCCGACCCCTCCTACTCCTGTCTCCAGTGAATTGGGTCACTGGCAGAGGTGTAAAAGGGCAGGAGGCCTGCATGGCCCCATCATCAGGCAGAATCAAATCTTGTCTGGCAAAATAGGGCTTCTCAACAGTTTAGGCCAGCCACGCTGGAATGAGTACTGGCTTTTGAGGAAATGAACACACAAGTGCCAGTCAGAAGACTGACCACACAGAAAGCCCAGAGGAGGCAATGGCTAGTGTGAGGCCAACTTACTTGTGCTGTTTCATCAGGGTACACTCGCCTCCTTCCTGGGGGTCCAGGTTGTACATGTATAAGTATCCATCAGAAGCTCCAACCAGTAATCGAGGAATCTTTTGAATTCTAGTAAGAATAAAATGCATCCAAACTCTAAAGAACACATCTTTCACACACAATTGTTAAACTAGCAACCTCCCCAAGCCATGGCCAGGGAAGACCTCCCTACCCCTTTACATATTTAGTTGTGTGTGTTTGTGGCAGTCATGCGCTGTGCAAACTACACTGTTACCAACAACACGCTGTATGTGTGTCAGTGGCTTCTACATGTGTCTAGATGTGCTGCAGGCCAGCCTATCTAGGTTTGTGTGATTACACTTCATGGTATCTGCTGGACAAATCTGAATGGAAACAGATACATTTTCTGGAATGCATCCTTATAGTTAAGCAAAACATAGAAGAGGATAATGATCATGCCCAGAGTGTTACTTTCAGTTGTACTTCGAAGCCAAGGATGAATACATGTGTGTGGATAAACACCAAAGCCCATAGGAGAAGAGATCAGAACAAAAGCCTTTTCATGGCTTTTCTCTTTACCAACATGTACTTTCATAAACTTCTCCAACTACACTAGAGTTAGATAAAAAGGAGGCCACACAATGTGTGCGGATTCATGGATGGTCTGTCAATGAACTTCCAGACATTCTGTCCCACATGGCCATACTATGGCCAAGCCCAACGAACTTCCTAAGACCTCCTGTGCATGCCGAAGCTGTGCTTGGCAGTTCCAGGGAGAACCTTGCGCTAAGTGAAACCACTGTTTTGGTAGGTCCCAAGGGTGAATTATTTGCAATCTCACAGGGTTAGGATTTGATGAAGTTTTTTCATTAACACTTCAAATATTCTCAAAACACAGAAAGAGGAAGATGTTTTGGAAACAAGACATGCCAAGAAAGCATTATGTGTAAGATGACGCAGCGTACTCTGTGGTTCCCTCCATGTCCCCCAAACTCTTGACTGAACTAAAGGTCTAAGTTTGAGATATTCTCTGGCCAGGGGCAACGTACAGACGAGTCAGTCTCTGTACGCTACGGAGCCTCTGTGACTGGGGCTCCTGACTGTGTGTGGAATGGGGCAAAGGGGAGAAGGGCATACCCATGCTTACTCACGTGGCCAGGGAGCAGATATTTTTATGGCCACAAAAAGGCAGGCGGACAGTGGCAAAGGCTCTGCCCTGGTTGAACATTTCAGTGACTTGAGAGGGCAAGTAGCTGGTAGAAGCCATGAGCACTTTTCCGAAGTACCCGGTCCAGGTGGTAGGTTCCTCCTGAGGTCTACAAGACAGAAATGTCATCTGCTATGTAGAACTGAACTCTTTATTGTGAGAATGACCTTGTTCACGAACACAAACATGAGCCCCAAAATTTGAAAGAGGAGTTTTTCCTACTTCCTGAAAGAGGAGCATAGAAACGACGACCTCTGGAGACCCTAGGAGTGGTAAAGAGTGTACCACCATCCGGGAAAGGTGAGGGGATGAGGTCCTTCAGATTTCAGAACCTGGGACAGTCATGTGCTTCCTGAGTTAGATTATGGCAAATGATCAGGTTTCCACTTACAATCAACGTGAGGACCAAATTCATGATCTTTCCCTGGATCTTTTTAACAGGAAACCTCTAAAAACCTGACTAGTACAAATCTCAATCAAATTGTTATTTTCCTGTTTTTGTTGTTCATCTGATGACTATTTTGTAAGTATCTAAAGTACTTAAGTATCTCTTTGAGTAAGGGAAAATTAAAGGGAGGCCCCCCTTCATGATATATATCCATTTAGTAACACAAAATTTAAATCAACTGCTTTGAAATAAAAACCCTCTGTGGCTAGACAATGTGGACGGGCTACCTCCACAAGCTCTGCGTGGACGGGAGCGGTAGTGGTGGACAGTGGCACTGACCAAGGATTCCACTGCAGCCCTTCCTGCCTCTTACAACATCTCCTTTGCGCACACCCCCCACACCGGAACAATCGTCTTAATGTGAAAAACCCATTTTACTGCTGAGCCGATATGTAGTGATAACCTACAGCCAGCTCAAGGGGCTTTATTGGCAATAACATCAAAAAGCAGGACACAGTCTGTGCTGATGTTTTCATGCAGAAAAATGTACTTTTTTTTTTTTTTAAAGATTTATTTATTTATTTATAGAAGCACTGGGTACAGTCAGAAGCGAGGGAGGGTGAGAGAATTCACCAAAGCCAGAGTGGGGGGCGGGGGCAGAGCAGGCAGAAAGACCGAAGTACACTGCTGAGGGCAGCAGCGGGCGGCAGGAGAGGTCTGCGCGCCATGTGGGACCCTTGCCCGGAGGCCGGGAATCGAACTGGCACTGCAGAGGCTGCGGGCAGCTTCGCAACCCAGTGCTCAACCGCTGCACCACTGGGGATGCCCCTGTACATTTTTTTTTAAACAAGCACATCTGCAACTCACTTTTCTTTCACAGTCTCGAGTTTGAAGATGTGCACAGTCTCAGTGTTGCTGGACGCCGAGAGGAACATGCCGTCCATGCTGAAGGCCAGTGAGCAGATGCTCACACACCTGGGGAGAAGAGGCAGGTTACCGCCCAAACACTGGAGAGGGCAGGTTGCAACTGCTCCAGGGGCTTGTGTATCTGAAGTGACAGAGGAGATAGTCCCTGGCAGAGGCATACTTGGGCTTCCTGCTCTCGTTTTTACTCCTCTCAGCATCTTCTTGAAAACTTTCCTTATAGAAAATGTGTGTAGTGCCAAGTAAGAGCAATTCCTTAATATATCCTTGAACAGCCAGTTTCTTTGCAATTCCAAATATCAAAAGGAACAGGGACTTCATCAAACCATTTTTAGTTCAATTAGATTGCATTATGGCACTAAGTGAGTAAAATCTAACATTCAAATTATGGCAAATTCTTAAGAAGCAAGAGGTAAGTCAGCAGCCATCCTAATGTAAGACCAGAGCAAAGCTTTCAACACACTGGGTCACCACAGTGGGTCTTAACTCCCAAAGTCATCAATAATCTGCATTTCCTCATAACCACAGAAGTACAACATTCTTTCACTCCTGTCGTTTTAGCACCCACTTACCACGTACTCACAATGCACCCAACACTACACAAAAGCTCTGAGATCAATCAGAAGGTTCTTGCCATTTTTGGAGCCTATAGTACAGCGTGTGTACAAACTGTAAATCTGCTGCAAACAAAATGGAGCTAAAAAGTAGAGGTGGAAGGTGCTACTAAGAAGTAGAAGTGGCAGAAGGAAGGGGCCATCTCTGCTGAGTGTCAGGGAAAAGCCTCCTGGAGTGAGAGACGCTTGACGCAGACTCCAAGGGCTCAGGAGTGGCCTGGTCAGCAACGTGACATTCCAGACACAGAAACATCATGTGCAGGACCCCAGCAAAGAGAATTTCTGAGGCACTGGATGTACAGTGTGGCTAAAACTTGGGGCAACAGGGAAAGTAAAATAAGAACAGCTCGAAAGAAAGGGCTGGATGTTGGGAGGTCCGTACACCAATGAGTATACGAGCTTGGAATTAATCCCACAGGCAAGATGTGCTCTAATTCTATTTACACCTTCAAAGAACCACCTGGGCTCAAGTGTGAAGCACCAGAGAACGGGGCAAGTGTGTGGTAGATGGTGATGTGAATTGGGAGATGTGGGGGAAGACAGGTGTTAAGGGGGACTGACACAAGGAGGGTGGAAGCATGAGGCCTGACTGGGGGCATGAAGCGAGAGAGGAGCCAGCTTCCAGTCCAAGGTCAAGGGACAATGGTGATATTTACCAAATGTGAGCACTGCCGAGCAGATGGCACATTTTGGCCAATTGTAAGCACCCAACATCTTCCAGCAGGAGAAATGTGGGCACACCTCAGGAAAGCAGCTGGGCTCCACACAGATGAAGACCCAACAGCACACAGATGCACTGTTAGGCGGGTGTGGGCTATACAGAGTGGGGTAAGTAGTATTTCTGGGGAAGAAATGATATAGGGGAAGATATAATGGAGTAAGAAAAGAAAAATTGAGAATGGTGTGATATAAGGAAAACCAAGGGCAAAAGGAACAACACAGGAGGCAGTAATGGGCAGGAGCTGGGAGCCTGGCTCTGAAGATAGGACACTAAAGCCAGTTGATAGGATGACCCTACAGAAGAGTGAGGACAGTGCAAGGTTCCAGACAAGGGGGAGGGAGAGGCAAGCAGCTGTAAGTTCCAGAACATATCCTAAGAACCGGCACTGCCTGCTCCAATTCATGGCCCCTGGGAGGTGGGCACTGTTCGATTCCCATGTGGGTGGGAACCAGAGCTCCAGGGTCAAAGTAACTCTGAGTAAGGCCATACTTAGAGCTGTCCCCTGAGCTGCAGAAGACACCTCTGCACTAGATTCCTGCAGTGGAGGCCAGGACTAAGGGGATCAGGACTAAGGCCAGGATCAGGAAGGGGGTGCCTGAGTACAGGTCCAGGAAGGTTTGCAAACAGTGGGAGGAGAGTTAAGGCCAACACTACACTGTGACTCACGGTTTGGTTTCTTTAAGCAAAGAGCCAAAGCCATTTGCCAGGTGAAAGGAGAAATGAGGGAGCTGGTCCCAAGTTTTCAGAAGGTTGGAGCTACAAGTCAGGTTAGGGAGGTCACTGGCCTGCATCTCACCCCAGAAGGTCTGGTTACACAGGTTCTTCCGCTCTTGGGCTACTTGGCCATCACTCTACTTTCACCGACAAATGAAACCCAGTTTGCTTTATATGAATGCTTCTCTACCCCTCCCGATGAGATCCTAAAACCACACCTAGTCAAGCATCTGGCTGAAAACGCTTTATTTAACTGGGATTCCCAGTGTTTCTTCAAGTTTCTACTTGTTTGGTCACAGAAAAATAAAACCCAAACAGAAGGTCCTGGATCAACTTTGGAGATTATAGACTTTACCTCTTAACTCCTCTCCGGAACTCAAAGAGTTTCTGTCCCTCCGGAATGGAAAACACCCTAATCACAGTTCCCTGTGAAAAAAGGAAAGAAAAAGGAATTTTAGCCAAGTAAAAATAGCCTTTTCTATTTCTTTCATATCAGACTGTAAGTGTGACATATGGTACATTGGCAGACAGCTCTACACTGAGCCAGTGTGGAGGTTTGAGGCCTCCCCCAGCTTCCCCATCCCCCAACATAGCACACGACCTTCATCCTTTTTTGTCACAAACACACTAGAATATCCCATGTTCTATTGTTTACTTAACATTAAATTTTTTTTCTTTAAATCAACTCACTTGGAACTCACCATTATGGTTAGAATGATACTCCCAGCTTTGAAATCAGATGTGGAATTTAATAGCTGTACTTTTTCTAAGTCATGTGAAGTCTAAACTATTACCAACTATTGTGTACTGCATGTTGGGGATCTCCCCCTAACTCAGTGACCTGAAGAGGCCTAAGGTCCCACTGAAGTCCTTTCCAGGCACTTTAAATTGAGTTCCTGACCAAAAGAACAGATTAGCTAGAAATGTTACCTAATTGCCTAAAAAGCAATAAACACAGTATTATAAAATGGTAAAACCTATATTAAGAAAACTTCAACTGACTAAGACACAAAAGAAAATATGAATAAATGGTGAGCTACAGCATTTCCCTGTTTGAAATGAAATGTTTTCAAGATGTCATTTTCCCCTACCACTCCCCTATTTCCCACTTTCTCCCAAGTTAGTAGGGGATGGGTGGAAGGGGAGACAGGGCTTGAACTGGGAGAATACGGGGTAACAAATAAAGAAAGTTAAAATGAATAGTACTTTCAACAACTAAATATTGACAGAATAGTAGCAAGCTATAGCAATAAAATAGCACATAAAGCAGTAAACCAATAGAACAGAATGAAAACCTTAAAACATTTCAAATTTGTAGGGAAGAATTTTTCAACATTTAACCCCATATTATTTTAAAGGTTCAAACTGTTCTATATAAAAACCATGAAGTATATGATGTTTACAAATAGTCAAAACAAAACTATCAACAACTTAAATGCAGAACACTAGAAATTGGTTACATTATGGTAAATATGTATAATGGGATGTAACAACTAGAAATCAGACTGCAGATAAAACAGATTCCTTTTTGAAAATGTTAAAAGATAGTGATTCTCTGGATAGAAGGACACCCATGGAGTTTGTAATTCTTAAGAATTGGTATAAAATAGCATATTCATATAAAAAACATGGGAAGGGTTTTATCCTCTGTAGTCTTTTAGATTTGCTTTGTAATGGCAGACCTACTATAGGATACTAGTTAAGTGCTGTTAGTCACAGTTTGCAGTTCCTTGAAAGTAGGTAATGAAACCACACACCTGTGTGCCTAGCATATACTAGGGTTCATGCCATGAACTTAGAGGATTCTGTTTAATAGTAAATCAAAAGTTTGCTCCTTATAGTCCAAAAAAGATGATCCTATTTTCACTGGCTTTGAAATCTGTGAAGTGCTTTATAAAGAGCCTTTCTAAGACCTGATAAAATACATGAAAAGACTTTGATTAATCAAGAATGTCAGGGCCATTTTGATACTCTCAAGAAAGATGACAAAGCCAAGGTGTAATTGTTCAGCACAGTATTTAAAAGTGAAGTCAGGGTAGGAGTCCAATTTCTCTGTCACCTTCCACTGGGGGACCCTGGGCAAATCACTTAACCTTTCTGAGCCCTCAAGATAAAATGGGCAATTACCTTGCTGAGGGGATCGAATAAGTCAAATAATATAAAGGATCTAGTATAATTAGGTCATCCATAAGTCATCCACCAATAATAAAGTATTATTACAGAAACTGGTGTAAGAGTTAAGAATAAACACCCACATGGAAAGGACCTAGGAAGACGGGGTTGACTGCTTTTATATTTTATTTGGTAGGATGGTTTGGAGAGGTAATTTAGGAGAGGAGGCTAACTAAGGTTTTTGGTAAGAAAGCATCAAAGTAAAATTAGGCAGTGGCCAATTTTGCTGGTGTTCACAAGGGAAGAACAAAGCAGGAGAACTAATGAGAGAAAGGGAATCAAAGAACGGAAGTTTTAAGGTGAGAGGAACAGGAATGGAAAAGGAAGTACAAGAGAGTGAGGGCTCTTCAGTGGCACAAAGGCTAAGAGGAAGGGACAGCCAAAGCATCAAGTGCATGAAGAATTTGGAAAAATACATTTCCTTTTAACCCAGAAACTCTACTCACTGGAATCTCTTAAGTTACTATTTAAAGATGCATATAAAGACTTATACATAAGATAAACGCACTATTCTAAATACTCTAAATATTATTTATATGTTATTCTAATATATCCTAAATAACAGGCAATTTTTTAAAAAGATTTATTTATTTATTTATTTATTTATTTATACATACATACATACATACATACATACATACATACATACAAGCACTGGGTACAGTCAGAAGTGCGGGAGGGTGAGAGAATTCACCAGAGCCAGAGTGGGGAACAGAACAGGCAGACTGACGAAATACACTGCTAAGGGGAGCAGCGGGCATGGCAGGAGAGGTCTGTCACACCATGTGGGACCCTCGCCAGTGGCTGGGGATCGAATTGGCGCTTCAGAGGCTGTGGGCAGCTTCGCAGCCCAGTGCTCAACCACTGCACCACCAGGGGAGGCCCAATAGGCAATGTTTATTAAGTAAATCACAACTGAACATTATTCAACCATTAGAAGTGTTTCACTTAAAGAAATACATTATGCAGTTTTTAAAAAAGGAAGATATGTTAGATAGTATGTTGTCAATTTTGTTTAGTAAACAAAAAAGATGAGTGAATACAATAAAGTATGTTCAGATCAGCTCTTGACAGAATTATGTCACTGCTTTTTCACATTATTAAGTATTTCCTAAGTGCTAATATATATTAGTGTCACAATTTAAAAGCAGACTGGGGGCCTCCCTGGTGGCACAAGGGGTTAAGCACAGCACTATGAAGCAATCTGCAGCCACTGCAGCACGAGTTCGATCCCCGGCCAGGGAGGTGACCCACATGACTTGCCCGCTGCTCCCCTCAGCAGAATATTTCAGTCAATCTGCCTGTTCTGTTCTGCACTCTGTCTCTGGTGAATCCTCTCACCCCCACACCTCTGGTCTGTACCCCAGTTCTTGTATGCATAAATAAAAAAAAAAAATCTTTTTTTTAAAAAAAATAAAAGCACACTGGATGAGTAGCATGGCTGTGAATGGCATTTTCTTCTCTTCTGCATGTTTCTGTAGCCCCTACCACAAACACACATCAGCTCTCAACTGTCAGATAAAAGCACATTCTCATGCCTGACAGGAGGGCTGTTATCTGTGCGTCTTGAGTGGCTGGTTGATATAAAAACTTGTTTGATGACTTGACTGTGGGAATGAATGGAACTGACAAAGTTTGATGAAACCTTTGAACCAGTTTCTACTGGGCTCCACCTGACCCACCTTCTCAGAAGCAGTGGCGAGCTTGGTTCCACTTGCGTCGAAGGCCAGTGCTGCTAAAGGGCTGTCATGAGCCGGGATCATGTTGGCAGCTCTCTGAAAAGGTCAACCAATAAACTGTGACTGTCATGCAACGAGACTGTGTCCTATGCTACCCATGGTCATTAGGCTGAAAATGCCAATGAGCTGTTACCAAAACATCATTATAGTTAATATGAACATCAAATCCAAGTGATTTACTAAGGTGAGGGTCCAAAAAATGCTGCTTAAAATATATAAAAAAACAATTTATTAATAAAGTTTTTATAGTTTTCTCCATTCCTTCATACACTCACACTGCCAGGAGATCGGCACTTCTGGGAATAGAGTGGTACAGCTGGAGGCAGAATTATCCAGACTGTTTTGCATTAAGAGGGGAGCAGTGAAAACTGTTGTTGAGTCAAAGCTGGGACATCAAAGAATTCACAGCAGTGTTGAAGAAAAAGTCACTTTAAACAAACAAACCAACAAACCAACAAACAACTACGCAAGTACTAAAGGCACTCACCAAGTTAATGGTGTCGAAGACTTGCACCTCCCCGATGCTTGCACTGCCTGGGTATGCCAAGTAACAATTGTCGTTGTTTATTGACAGCGCACACAAGCCTGTGAGTCACACAGAGAGCAAGCGCCAAGTTACGTCGAGAGGATTTTGGTTAGAAACTCTTTAGCATTTACTTAACAAAGAATGTAGAAATCAAAGCAAGCTCTGATACAACTTTGGTTGGTGTGCTGTTTTTATGAAAGTTCTACCCCCCAACCTCCGCCCAAAACCGCCACCTTAGGTGATAGTAAGCAGCACTGTAAAAACAGAATAAAGGCCCTGGGCGTAAATGACCAGTAACTTCAAAATCAGAAGCTAACCAAGCCAGTGTTTATGTGGCCAAAGAGCAGCATTAGCAGGCAGGTAGCTTTATTTAGGCTCAATACTTTTAACCCTGTCTACATCTGTGGGACCTATAAAGAGATCCCTCTCACCTATCTTTAGGAGGCTGAATCAGAAAATGAATTTTCATCTTCAGTTCATTTACCTGCAGGGTTTGGGGGGGTCTCCCTGATTGTATGCAGTACCTTCATGTCCCGAATGTTGTGTATATAGAGAGATTCTTCCAGGCACACTATTAGCCTCTAGAAAAGACAAAAAACAAAAACCATGAAGAAAGAGCCATTGTTACAGCACATGCTCCCAATCTTCATGTAACCAACTCCTGGATTAAGATACACTCTGTGCTTTCCAGAACACTGAACAGACTGGATGTGTGCAGCACAGGGGTGCTCGCTGTTACCAGGTGGCACTTCCTTGGCACTGCGCTCCTCATCCAGCAGTGAAGTGGTGTTCAAGCCAGCTACGCCTGTCCCACCACATTCGGATTTTCATAGATACAATTTAATTTCATATTACAGAAACCATTAAACTATAGCTATGAAAAGTGTGGTTTTTTTTTTTTAAAGATTTATTTATTTATATATTTATTTATACAAGCACTGGGTATAGTCAGAAGCAAGGGAGGGTGAGAGAATTCACCAGAGCCAGAGCTGGGAGCAGAGCAGGCAGAAGGACGGAAGTACACTGCTGAGGGGAGCAGTGGGCGGCAGGAGAGGTCTGCGCGCCATGTGGGACCCTCCTCCAGTGGCTGGGGAGCAGCCGGGGATCGAACCAGCGCTGTAGAGGCTGCGGGCAGCTTCGCAACCCAGCGCTCAACCGCTGCGCCACCGGGGAGGCCCGAAAAGTGTTTTTTTTTGGGGGGAGGGGGCGAAGTGTTGTTTCTGTTTTACTCTGTCTTCCCCTCATGGAAACTAAGTGCACTAGATAGGTCTGGTAAAAGTAAGCTGCTTTAAAAACCTAATGCTGAATGACACAGGGAAAATGAAAGTAAAACTTGCCATGTTTAAAAGCACCCTGTTTTAAACCATTCTGCACTCACACTGCTTTGCAGATGTCTAAGTTCTTGCTCTGTCTTAAAGAAGATCAATGAGCTGGCAGCTGATGCATCAGAGGATGATTTACACAAGACAGACACTTTGCCACATCTATGGCTCTACACCAGCTGGTAGTGAAAGCACATCTGCATGTTTTCAGTTTAAAAAAATGTCAACATGTTATGCCATAGTTTCCAATTTTAGCCAACTTTTTCAGTTAATAGATCACTCCTCAGTTTCAACCAATGAGCCTTGGGTCACCACATTTCCAAGTACACCAGTTGCAGTCACATATGTTCCTTCTGGCTGCTTTATTAGCCTCCTTGCACAGAACACTGGTGGTAAATAGAGAATGCTAAAAACCTTCAGGAGAGCACTGTATTTTGTGAGAAAGCAAGAGCCATGAGACAGTCTCAGGAAATAAACAAGTGCTAGTCACCCAGTCTATGTCTGGGTCAGACATTACTGTGAGCTTTGGGGAAGATTAAAGAAATGAGGTAAGTTTTCTTCAATTAAAAGTTAGACTAACAGCTTAAAAAGGGAAAAGAAGCCATCCCCTCACCCCTTTTTAAAGTAACATAAAAGCAAAGAAAGGCAAATAAACTGTGATTCAACTCTTTATGAGAATCTTGGTATCCAGGAAAATGGTCAAGTTTGTGTCTTGAAGGATGAATAGAAGGTGACAGAAATGGAGTGGCTTCAGCAGGACGTCCAGACGAGAACAGAGGGAGTCAGGGTAGTAGGTGGAGGGTCCCTGCATGCAATGCCTTTGCCAGAGCTGAGGGACTGGAAACAATGGGTTCAGCAGTCTGGTCAGCTTTGTCCCAGAGGTGCTGAAGGAAACCCAGGAATGGTGGAGACAAGTGAAAAGTCACACTGAGATGTGGGGCAGTGCACATTTGGTAGTTTGGCTGAAATAAGAGTGCTGCTCACCTGCCGGTTCAACTTCACAGCCAGGATCGTGTTGGAGTAGCTATAGTTGCAGATCTCAGTGCCTTTCTTAAAGTGGCAAACTTTTAGCTTCCTAGGAGCTTTGAGGCTGACGATGGCCACTAAGCTGCTTGAGAACAATCTTTCTACAATGCACACATCTTCAGTATCAGCTGAAAGTAAAAAAAATTATACGAATGTGCATGTAGTCATGTCAATGGGCACACACAATGAGTGTCTAAGTGTAATCTCAGGCAAAGCAGAACACGACAGGGTATGTGGTGGATGTATGATGACAGGGCTGGGCTGAGGACGTGGTCCCAGAGCAGCAGGGGATAATGATGATGCACTCAGGGACGGATAGACTGGGGTCAAATTCACCATTTTAAGCACCTCAGATAAACCACTCTGAGGGTCTCCCTGCCAGTAACACCTTTGCATTCTGCAAGGAGGGCCTACCTCAGCTCAAATGCCAGCTCCTCAGAACTTCCCCCACCTCACCTCTGTCAAAGGGAGGCCCCCTGATGACTCTCTTATCTGGCCACCATCCTCTTTCCTCCCTGGCAATCCCATGACCCCTGGTTTGCCTGCTCTCTGTATACTTCTTACACACTCCAGAACTTGAGAGCCAAGATGACAAAGGTTCATTTTCCTGTTCACAGCTGTATCCCTTGCATTTGAAACAGGACCTGACATGGGGCAGACCCCCAGAGAGCTTTTATTTTTTTTTAATTGACGTACCACTGGCTTACTTCCTTATTAGTATTTTGGAAGTATAGGATTTTTTTGCTCTTGGAAAGGGACTTCCCCCATATAGTCTTTGAATGGATCAATCTTTCTAAGTCTTGCTTTCCTCATGTGTGAAGTAGGGATCACAGTTACAGCACAGGAGGAAATGCCAGGGCAGGCTCAATGCCAGTATTTCATACCCCTCAGCTCCATGCTCTCCACTTAAAATGAGGATACACCCTACTCAGCAGATTGTAGATTAAAAACTGCACATAGTGTCTTATACAGTAGCCCCATAGAGATTACTTTCCCCCATATCTCCACTGACTACCCACACCTGCCTAATGTGTTCAGCACCAGATGAGTGTTAGCTTCAGATTCAGATCCAAAGTGACACCACACATATTTATGGGGGAAAATTGCTAAGGCTGTGCTATTACTTAGATTGGAGAAGTGGTAAAGTCAAGTGTATGAGTCTAAGCTTTGCCATCACTTCATCAGTCACCTTTCCCCAGCCAGCCAAGACAAACCTCACTCACCTCTTTGCCGTGGCAGCAAGCTAACACCTTGATTCAGAAGAATAAGGTGCCTGAAGCTGTTCTGCTGCAGCCCAAGGAGGAGCCACCAATCCCTTTCAGAATCTGAACCTCAACTGCAGGGCACAACTACACCATCCTGCTGCACAGAAGGGCAAGGCGCTCCGTGTTTTCATCCTTGATGCCGCTCCAGTGTCTGGAACTCTGTCCAGCCTCTGGGGCCTGCCAGTCAGACACTTCACCCAGAATGTCAATTATTTGCAGTAAAACTACCTTCCCCTTAGGACCACACACTCATGTTCTCTGATCAGCCACTCTCCCTTGGGCAAGTATGGCCAGTGGATGAGGGGGGCTGGAGGCTGAGCTCCAGGGCTGCTATTCCCAGACTACCACACATTTCTCCAAGGTGGTAGGCTGCTGGGGAGTGGGGATGCAGGTCCTTTCTCCATCACTGTCTGGAGTCTTACTCTTCAGGCTCCTGCCTTCCTGCTGCCCCCATTCTTTTGTCAAGATTTAGTAACTGTTTGGGGTGCACTGACTTATTAATCAACCGCAATCTCTGCTCTCACTCTAGAAATGACTACAGGCCCATCTGTTATCTGGACATGTTCAGAAGCAGGGTTCCCTGCTGAGCTCAGCTTCTCAGGACAGAAACACTGCATACCCAGATCTCATAGCATCCAGCCAAAGAAGGGGTTGATCACACATTTATTGGATGACTGAAAATGGACCTTATGATTAGGTTCAGAGTATTCTCCCAACACTCACCATTACAAATACCCAACAGAACAATAACCTCTTGAATGGGGTCATATCTGAAGATGGGCTAACTTTATTCATGACAGCCCATTTGGGTGGTGCCATCACCCCAAGAGTTACATCTAAATAGTGAAACTGCTCTTGGTACAACTCAGTATATTCATTCCAATATTACGTACACTAGGCAAGTGCCATATACCTGGTGAATACTAGGGATACAGGTGCCTGAGGCGGGGGGAGTCCTTCATGGAACTCAGTTTAAAAATCAGCTTCTAGTCTTGCTCTGCTGTTAATTAGCCTAAGACCCTGTGCCAACCTTCTCAATGGTGAAATAAGAGTTGTATTTTCAGTTTTGTTAATTCTAGGGCTGAGACATATTAGAGAATCTGGTATAGGCAAACTGATTTGTGAATAAATAATACATTTTATTAAAATTACTGGCCTTCTAAGTTAAAGAGAAAAGAACTTATTTCAATCCTCATTATTCATAGATTCTGCATTTGTGAATTTGTATAGCTGCGAGAGTTTATCTGTAATCCCTAAAATAAATACAGGGGAGTGTGGAGGGCTTTCACAGTCACTCCTGGCCAGGCAGAATGGTTAAAAACGTAGTCACTGAAGAACACATTTCCAACTGAGTTCAAACAAGGCAATACCACCTTTCTTTCAGATCTCATACTGTAAACAAATGATGTTTCTGTGGTCTATTTCTTATACTTTTGTGCTTTGGTTAGTGATTTCACTGTTGAAAATGGCCCCAATCACAGTGCTGAAGTCCTGCTATACTTCCTGAGTGCGAGCAGGCTGTGATGCACCTCCCAGAGAAATGGCAGATGTCAGGTGAGATGGGTTCAGCATGGGTTACAGTGCTGTTGCTCTGAGTTGCTAATAAATCAACAATATGTATTAAATAAAATGTCTGTAAAAAACACAGATAAAAGGCCAAGTATTCATTAGGTACCAAAAATGTGAACAGAAGTTTACAGGAACCTGATTCTAGAAGCAATGGATCCATATTTGCTAATTCAGTGTTGAGGGCAACTTACTGCTTTGATGCAATATCACTTACTACTTCACTCATTCAATACATATATTTACCTACTGTGAGCCACTGCTCCAAACTAGAGATACACAAGCATGGCAAACATCATGGGCCCCATGAGAGTTCAAGGACAGGGATGGAAGAAGACAGCAACAGAGGCTGAGCAAGGAGAAAAACCATGACCACATGACAAGTGATTCAGAAGGCAGAAGAGGGTGTCTGAAGAATAAACAAGTGTGTCAAGTGCTGCTGAGTGGCTAAGAGGAAACAAGCACCCACTGAAACGGTGAGCATGGCGGTTATCTGGCGACCTTGACAAATTGTGATGGGAAGTGGAGGCAGAATGAAATGTAGAAGGCAGGTGAAGAAGTGGAAAAAGAACTTGGGCAAACTAGCAGAAGTTGTGTTATGAAGAAATGCAGGCATGTGGGGAGAGGCCGGAGGGATATATCTGGTTACTGGAAATTACAGTTTGGGAATTAACAAGCTATACCAATGGAAAGACCGACACTGCAGTAAGAGACAGGCTAACTGAAGAAACAAAACAGTAAACCGGAAGGCAAGATTTTAGTAAGACAGGAATGCCTTTTTCCCACTTAAGAGGAGGAAGATGAGATGACCGATGTGGGTGGGCTAGTCATCTGAAGGAGAAAATGTAAGCAAATCCCATACTATGAGCATCGGTTTCTCTTTCAAGCAAGAAGAGCAGTTATTAGCTTTGGGGTGGAGGTGGGGGGAAGAAATGGGAGATTTTAACAAGTGAAGATAGTATGAAAAATCATATTAGACAAACGGAGAACCATCAGCAGGACTGACGAGCCTTCATTTGAGGCTATGGTAATATATTCAAATTTAACCAGCGGAAATTCAGGTCAATTCAACAGATGCAAAATTCAACACTCATCCATGGTGAATATTAAGAAATCTAGGAAGAAACTTCTTTGATACATAAAGGACATTAAGGAAAAATCTGGAGCTAAGATCATACTTAATGATGAAAATACTGAATTCTTCCCTGTAAGATTACAAACAAGGCAGAGAGAGGCCCACTATTCACTGTGTAATAGAAATCTTCCACACTGCAGTGAGGTGAGAAAAAGAAAAAAAAAAAAAAAAAAGGAACTAGGACCAGAAGAAGATGTCAAATTGTCTCTACAGCAACCTTAAGGAATCTACTAAGCAACTATTAGAACTAATGAGTGAACTTAGCAAAGTTCTAGAATACAAGTTTAAAATACAAGAACCAATAATATTTTTATAGATCAGCAGTAAACAATTAGAAAATGTAATGAAAAAAAAATCCACTTACAATATCATTTAGAACCAGAGTATTTTGAACAGACTTAACAAGAGATGTAAGACCACAATACCTAAACCAACAGAATGTTACTAAGAGAAATTAAAGAAGATCTACATAAATGGAGCCATACACCATGTTCATGGATTGGATTACTCAACATTGTTATCAAGTCTCCTCAAATTGTTCCCTAGATCCAATGCAATTCCAATCATATCCCAGCACTTTTTTTGGGTATATATTGACCAGCTGGTTTTTAAGTTTATATGAAAAGGCTAAGGATGTAGAATGTCCAAACCTATCTTGAAAAAAAGCAAAGCTGAATGGCTTACACCACATGACCTCAAAAGTTAGTGTAAGTCACAGTGAACACTATGAAGACTGACAAAAAGAACAATGGCAGAAAACATAACAGCAGAAATAGATCCACATGCAAAGGATGGTCTTTAGGCACAAAAATAATGAGAGGGGTCTCTCTGGTGGCACAAGGGATTAAGTCTCAGCACTATGAAGCTATCAGCAGTCACTGCAGCACAAGTTCGATCCCAGGCCAGGGAGCTGACCCACATGGTGCAGCAGTCCTCTCCTGTCTCACCTGCTGCTCCCCTCAGTAGTGTATTTCAGTAGATCTACCTGTTCTGCTCCCCACTCTGTCTCTGGTGAATCCTCTCACACACACCCCGCCCCCACACGTCTGGCCTACACCCCAGCTCTTATATGCATGAATAAATAAAAATAAATCTTCAAAAAAAAAAAAAAAAAGGAAGAAAATTTCTGACAAAAATGCAACAGGAATACATAATGAAAAAA